CCCTCATTTTTATTGAAAGGCCGGAGGGCGAACAAAGGAGGAGTGAATATAACTTCTAAAAAGAAAAGGTTTTATTTCTCAATCCCTTAAATGTATGTATGACATTAGATGTCTAAGAAAACTACAATTTAATAAAGGTAAAAAGAGAAAGCAGCTATATGGCTGTGGGCTGGGATCTGAGTAACATAATATTTTGGTTTCTGTAAAACTGTAAAGATAAGTGGAACTGAGACAAATACTGTGAGAAGTAGTTATAATGAAAAATAAAGTTGAAGTTAATGATAAGAAAACAAGAGTATTGAAGAATTAATAAAATACCATGATTTCCCTAACGAGGGAACTTTAAGTGTCACTAGGCTGACAGTGGTGAGAGACTCGGATGCAGAAGGAACTGGCATGTAGGGCAAGATGGAAGAAATATAGTAGAAGAAAATGTATGTTATGAAAATACAATTTCTGATAGGATTTATGGAAGTCAAATTAAGTTTAAATGGTATGAAAAAGGTTAGGGTTAGACATTGTATGATTGACAGGGATTCAAGTGATATAAGGATAAGGAATGAACAAAAGCTTTATTAAGCAAAATGGGGAACGATCCTATATTTTAGTGGTAAAATAATGACTGAAATGATGATGTGAATTTGTTTTATTTTATTTCTATTTTTGAAACAAACAAAAAAGCGTATAAGATGTTATACAATTAAAATGGTACATGCTATGTGACTGTAAACTGAAGGATGATTTCAGTAAAGACTTAAAGTGCTTACATCGATTATTATGGGTCTTAATTATTAATATTTTATTGTTTGTTGTTTATTTTTAGTTAGACAACCATTGTGTTTTAAACCTAAAGGGTCTATAAAAGGGGTAGTGAAAATAATGGATTAACCATCCAACTTTGTTTATAATAAAAGGATTTGGAAATCATAATTTTATAAAAAAAAAAAAAAAAAAAATAGTGCATATATTCTGGTATTCATGATTATAGACAATGTCTTTATTTAGGATCTGAGTAGTGACTGTGGATCTAGCCCATGCTAGTAGGAATACAGCAATAGTGCTTGCTTATTTAGCCTGGCTTCCAAAGAAAAAATATGTACTTGTTTCGTAATCAGTTATGTGTTTTATAAAAATTTTAACCTGACTGATAAACTGAGGAAGAATGACATTGATGTCCTGTTGTGAGTGGAAGGTGGGAGAGCCTCTTAATGGGGACTGGAATTTTTAGTATCCAGCATGTCCATGACGAGGTGAAGAGACAAGTGTGACCCGTCAGGGGAGCATGCGTCACCACTCCTCCCTTCCGTAGTGACCTCACTGGTTAGACCAGACGTGGCGGTATTGGACCCCACATTGGTCTAAAACGGGGGACTGAAGGGTTGGTCAAAATCCCTTGCCTCTTCAAATACATATATAATCATATATCATTTTGAATGGTTATATACTTCCTTTATAAAAATCAATAATCAAATATATTCATTATCACATAATAATTTTTATATTCTTGTGCTTGTGAAATTATATTTTCTTAAATGCATGGATGCAAGTAACCAGTTTCTTTTAGGTGCATTCCAATCTTACTTTGAGATTGCACTTAGTACACGCAGGACACGAAGGCCACGTAACCCACAAGGCCGTTTGTCTCTTTCTCTGGGATCAGTAGAAAGGTTAGAGGGTCCTAAAGGCAGCGTGGGCACATATGATTCTTCGCTGGACATATGGTCAAGCTATATTGAGCGTTACTATCAAACTTTAATTGTTGTATTAAAATGTATTCTTTCCAGTATATTTCCTTCCTTGGGAGTAAATACCAGTGATCTGTTTTTCTCCCAAACGAGTGAATGTTTTAGCAGTATGTTTTGGTATACTTAACTGATAATAAGGAGCTCAGACTCTCTTCAGCCTTGATGGGAGCTGTTATTTGCTAGTGTCTGTTATTTATGTGTGTGTGTGTATGACATTCTATGTAGGTTCTGGACGGTCGGACCAGACACCCCGGCGCCCTTCTCTAACCTGCGAGGCCACCACAGACCTAAATCCAATGAGTGGACGACAACTATCTTTACTAATGGCGATAGGCACCCCTATCTCCTCACATGTGTTAAATTGTTTAGGCTTTCATGTTTCTTAGCCAATGAGAATCATTCAACCTGTAAGCAATGACGTAGCTTAGACCTTGGAAATGGTATAACTGCTGTGATCTTTGTAACTGTAAGCGAGGCGGCCTACGAACTCCTGTGTGAGTCTTGAAGCTGACTTCTGCTGATGAAAATGCAAACTATCTTCAGTAAAACTTTTCTTTAATTTTTTATAATTCTGACTCCGGGTCTTCATTCTTCATATCTGGTTCTGGGTCTTTGACTGTATACCCCTTACAATAGCATGCTATAGTGACCTCAATAAAACAACCAAAACAAATGTGTGTGAAATTTTAATATGTTTTCTGTTTTATTATGCAGCTAAAAGAGCCTGGGGTCAAATTGACCCCAAGGAACACCGATGCTACAAAATGTGTACAGGACATTGAAAACATATCAGCAGGTTAATTTTATGTTTACAGAGTTGTCCCCATTAAATTAGGAAAAGTCATTAAATTTGAAGCAAAAAAAATAAATAAAATCATGTATTTACAGACGTTAAACATTGAATGGGGTCAAATTGACCCCAAAGATAATAGGAGGGTTAAATTGGTTATTTTGAAATTTAATTGAATGTGTTTTTGTTATTTATTTAAATCCCTTATTATAAGATAAAAAAAAAAACACAGGACAAGTTAACAAGTTAACAGTTTATTAAGTATGTAATGTACAGAAGGGTGCAGACTTCTTATATTCCTCTTTACTGTTTAACTCTAGATTCCTCTGGTCCATGGTGTGAGTGGGAAAGGGGATAGGCGATGCTTCAGTCTCCCAATTTGTGCTGTTCCAGAGGAGATTGAATTTTCATTCATTCAGTATTATTGTTGTTTGTTTATTAATTTTGTTTGGTAGAGGCTAAACATGTATTTACAGCAGTGTTGGGAAGAGCAGAGGTTTGTCAGAGTTGTCCAGCCACAGTAACATCATGACCTGCTGATCTTAGTGTTTTTGTGTTGTTGTTACTTTGTTATTTGGGTCTGTTTAATTTATAGTTTCCATCTTAAGTCTTTGATTTTTGTATGGACTTTGTTTGGAAATAATCTTCATTACATCTGCCCCTGTATATTATTTTGTTGTTGTTCTTCTTTTTTTGGAATAAAATAAACCTTCTTTTCATCTGTCCACTACCTGTCCTGTCTGTTCTTGGGCAGTGGTAGTAGTAGTAATAATAATATTAAAACTTTTAGCCATGTTGTAACTGCCTGGTCACAGATTTCAACAGGCAGGAGGAATAGAAATCCTCTTTATCTTTAAATATACAAACCAAATAAGAAGCTCTTGACAAGTTCTTTGGTTATTTGTAATTTAGCTCATGTGCTCTTTTCCAAAGATACTTGGAATACATAAACAGTTCCCTGCAATGCAACCTGAGGACAGTTAAGTGGAATCAGAACCCATATGCTGTTATTTTTCCATGGAACACACTTTAAAATTTGTATCATCACAAATCACAAATGATTCTTTACTATACTAAAAAAGTTCATGGTGACTATGGGCCGTCACACCCCAAAAAAAGGTCTTAATTTCTTTCCTTTTTTTTGGAAAGAAATTAATACTTTTTATTCAGCAAGGGTGCATTAACTAATCAAAAGTGACAGCAAAACTTTTACATAAAAATATTAAGCAGCACAACTGTTTTCAACATTGGCAATAAGAAATGTTTATTATTAGGGCATATAAATCAGCACGCTGGAATGATTTCTAAAGGATCATGTGACACTGAAGACTAGAGTAATGGCTGCTGTAAATTCATCACAGGAAGAAATCACATTTTAAAATATATTAAAATAGAAAACTGTTATTTTAAATTGTAATAATATTTTACAATATACCGTATTTTGAATAAATAAATAAATGCAGCAGAGCTTAACCCTCTGGGGTCCTTCATTTCAGAGTCACACTCAGGACCTTCGGGTACAAATGGGCCGGAAGGGTGGGATTAATATTTATTAAAAAAAAATCATCTTTTTTTTTTTTTTACTTGTTTTTTATAATATTTTTTCTTTTCTTTTTTGGTGTTTTGAGATAATTTCAAAAATAAAAATGATTTATAATTAATATTAATGCAATAATTATGACCCATTTTTTCCCCATTGAATATAATAGAAATTTAAAAAAAATATTTTTATTTTTTATTTTTTTTAAAGCTGTATTTCATTTTAGAGTCAAGCCTAGGCCTCATGAAAGCAATTTTTGAAATGAGATGGATGCCATCTGGTGGACAAACTGAGCATTTTAAAAATTCAAAACCCATATGTAATCTGAATTTATTAGTGTGTATGTGTATAAAAGTGTGTTTGTGTGTGTGTGTGTGTGTGTGTGTGGATGTGTCTGTTTTGCACTCTTGATGTTTTATAGATTCACCCCTTCACTGTTGTGTGCTTTTTTTCTGGATCGTGGCTGATTTGTAGTTTGTACGCACAAAATAACTCTGTATTTTCACATTTTTGCCAATTTCCCATTCATTTCCTATGCAGGTCCATTTGGACCCGAAGGTCCTGAGTGTGACTATTTTTTTTACAACCACTTAGACTATTCAAATCCTGTCCCCAATTTTTTGGGGTGTTCATATGCCAAGTACCAACAAAGTCACCAAATTTCGGACCATTCCGATAAAGCAATGATTTAAAAAATATATATATTTAAATGCTTCGGGTCCATTTGGGCCGAAGGACCCCAGAGGGTTAAGAAAAAAAAAAAGTCCAATCCCAAACTTTTGAACAGTAGTCCATATGACTTTTGCTCTAGCCTTCTGAAAGTATACGATAGCTTTGTGTGATGAAGCTCAGACTCAGAGGCCGTTCAAATTAAATGTGGAGAATAATACTTTTAATAAATTGATGACATCTTCAAATAAACTGTCAAATATGGCATCTAATATGCAGTTTTGACATTTGGCTAGCAGTCAAGCAACGATGTCTGATGTTGTTGATTTCCATCGAGGCTCCATTTTTGTCAGATAGACGTGAGACGTTTGTCTGATCATCAACTATTGTATGGCTTTCAAAAGACCTGCAAACAAAAGCACCATAAACGTATCTCCTAGGACTTGTGCGCTACATTGTACAAATCATATGGGCTGCTTTAATGGTGCTTTTGTAGTAAATACTCCACAGAATAATTCTTAAATGAAAACATCACATTCTCACAGCACTCGGAACAGTGTTTTGTAGCACCAGAACACAGCATACGGCCCTCTTTTTTCACAACTATTTCTCTATTCTGTCCATTTTTTCCACATCTACTGACACCAGTGATCCATACCCATTCATCTTTTTGAGCCTGAGTTGGCCAGTGGTTCCCGGCGGCTGGTTTTCAATTTCACAAGCGTTTCTTGAGGCGAACATCTCACTGATCTCCACAAAGGTTTTGTTCTTTGTTTCAGGGATGATGAAGTAGACGTAGGCTGCCACCCCCACACACACACCACAGAACACCAGGTAACAGAACGCTCCAGCTGACATCTGAAATACAATTCAAATCTGGGATTCAAATCTATCATTTGAACCTGGAAATGAACAATAAACTTGTCTCTCAAATTAGCCTGCTGACAACATAATTTGCAAATAAATATACAAATGTCCGCAATATACAGCGAGCTCCCTAAAGAAAAGATGTACCTGAAGGAACGGAAAGACAAATCCCACAGTGAAGTTTGATATCCAGTTGAGAAATCCTCCTACAATGTAGGCAGAAGGTCGATGGGATTGTTTAAAGAGCTCTCCTGTCATGAGGAATGGGACACCAGCTGTGCAGGAGCAAACATAATGGCATCAAAGTCATATTAATAAGATTTGAAGTCATTTAAAAAGCAACACAACTATATGATGAGTTATGAAGCATATAGTTAGTACATGACTCAACATGTTCTTTTGCAAACAAAATACAAATATACTCCTTCACCAGCAGGTGACACTAGTCTATCATATAAAAGGCTTGATCGTAGCAAACCTTGGCTTCATTTTAGAATTTGTATAATTAGCTGCAGCAGTAAATAACAATAACATCTATTTACAAGCAAAGTGCATTAAACCATGTCTGACAGAGTTTATTTTGCTAGTATCATTCCATAAATAGAAACTTATTTAAAACAAACAAATATTAAGGGCAACTTTTTTGATTATAATATTGAATATGTAAAATTATAATGAACATTATAAATTCACATTATAACATGCTATAGTGACCTCAATAAAACAACCAAACAACCAAGATGTACATGAAAATGAGAAAAAGAGAAATTCCTGTTCAGTGAGATCCTCACCAGGCCCAATGCAGAATCCAGCGATGATTCCAACCACACAGGCCACACTGATGTACCGCATAAAGGGTAAATGAGCCTAACCAAAGACAAAAGTACAGGAGATCAAAATATATAAAAGAAAAAAGAAAAAAAGAAATTCAAAAGTTTGAGGCCAGTAAAAAAAAAAAAAAAAAAATCCCAGAAAGGATGCAGTAAGCTGATCAAAAGTGAAAATAAAGACTTAAATTCTTACTAAATAATTATGTTTCCATCATGGTTTTTCACAATAATATTAAGCAGCACAACTGATTTCATTGGTCAACATTGGCAAAACAAGAAATGTTACAAATCAGCATTTTAGAATTATATTTTGAAGGATCATGTAACACTAAAGACTGTAATGACCGAGTAATGAGCTTTGCCATCACAGGAATAATCACTTTGCCTGACAGCGGGAGTGCCTATTATGACCACCAGAGGGCACTCCTCCCATATCCTTTGCATTTCGATCATGAACTACATTTCCCATAAACCTTTGCCTGGAATACATCCACCTGCATGCAGTCGCACCAATTTCACACTATTTCTGCTTTTATTGTTTTTTTCGATCATATAAATGCTACTTTGATGAGCAGAAGAGTTTATACTCAGACACACACACACACACACACGGTTTTGCTATCTTTGTGGGGACTCTCCATAGGCGTAATGGTTTTTATACTGTACAAACTGTATAATCTATCCCTTTACACTAACCCTACCCCTAAATCTACCCATCACAGAAAACTTTCTGCATTTGTACATTTTCAAAAAAAAACATAATTTAGTATGTTAATTAATCCATTTCCCTCGTGGGGACCGCTGATTTCAGATTTTACTATTTAAGTGGTTTTACAAGATAAATCTTGCTAGACTTTGAAATTTTCTGAAAGTACCTTTAAGATACAATTAGTTATAATTAATAACTAATTAATACTTAAGTGTCAAAATTCTCGAGGTCATCGAGACAAGAGCAAGTAAATATTGGTGATCATAATTACCTGTAACATGAGGGAGAAAGTGATTCCAGCACAGCACAAGCCCATAAAGCTGAAGCCACCAATCATCAGAGGCCTCCTACCCACACGCTCTATAGTAAAGCACTGGACAACATTCAGAGAATAATCAGATTATGAATTACTCCGTGTTACCAAGGAGCCAGTAATATTATCAAAGGTTAAATTTGCCATGCTCTCAGCGCAGAACCTAATGTATGTACAGAACAATCACAAATGCAAAAAACAATGTAACATGGTTTCCTAATAATTACGGTATGCCTTTGATGTCAGTTCTGACATGTGTTCTCACCCCTACGAGTCCAGCGATGACCTCTATGGCTCCAGTGCCAACGGTTGTGTACTGAATCTGAGGAGCAGGAATCCCGGCATTCTCAAAGATGGTATTGGTGTAAAACCAGATCTAGAAATAGAAACCAGGTGTTCCATTTTATTATCTCAAATAATGTCATTGCCATTTTATGGTAATTGTCATCACCAGTAACACTGTTAAAAACACACACCGCATCGATTCCGGACAGCTGCATCCCGGCATTGACCACAATGACTGTAACAAGCTGCCAGCGAACAGAGGGATCCCTGATGAGCTGCAATACTGAGACAGTGTCCATTGAGGACAAAGAGCGCTGCTCTTCCTGCATCTCCTCTACCTCAGCCTGGATGTTAGACTTGGTACGGTACCACTTCAGTGCTGCAAAGAGGAATCAGAATCTGAGCGTCACTATATTAGAGTATTGGCTCATCAGATCATGTCAGAACACCAGTGAATCAGAACAGCAGAATACAACAGATCACTTTGGACTAAAGAAGTATGCTTAAAGTCCTTCATGTTAATACATTTATGTGGTGTTTCTAATATGCTTTAAGATAAACCAATTCAAAAGTTAACACCATTGCTGAGTATTTTGCTAAGTATTACAATGCTGGCCTACTTACACTCAACCCTGCAAGACCATGCTGTGAACCAGCTTCACCAACTCCGTTTAGCTTGAAACCAGCACCATACCAGCATAAACCAGTCTGGACCAGCATGGAATCCATGCTGGTTTATGCTAGATTTTTCAGCATCTTAAGGAACTCGACATGATGTTAAGGCTCATAACATTATGAGATACATTTTGCCATGATGACATTATCAAAATCATCCCCTTAAATCATGCGCAAATATATCATAATTCTGTATGGAAATGTCTTCTACTCTTCTCTGATCCTGTCACATTCTTTGCTGTCAGTGAGTTCTCCACCTGGTAGCTGCTGACTGATGGGCCTTTGTAATGGCGCAATTATCTGAAGAGATTACAGTAAGGACAATAACTATAATCTTATGAGAGTCTCCTGGTCTGGCCACTAATCCCTCCAACACAATTCAATCAGCTTTAATGCAGTGAAGTGAGAGGAAACATTCAGAATCATTTCTTGGAATCCATTCTTTTTACGGAAGATTTTAAGTAATTTTTTTGGTTTCAAACTTGAAACAACAGAGGATGCAGTGGTCAATGTTTTCCATGCAATTGCAATGAATGGGCACTGATACAAAAGCACCAATAAAGGTATCATCACACTAGTCCAGGCAACTTATGTGCTGTATTATAAATCTTCTGAATTTAGACAATAGCTTTCTGTGAGACAACATTTTGTTATTCACTGATAATCTTCAATTATATTCTCCAAAAAAATCACCTTTTGTGTTCTAGAAGAAAGATTTGGACCAACATCCACCGTCTTGATGGAACCACATCCGAAATTGCATATTTTCTGATACTTCTCTTGAATCCGGCCAACCCAACACTTCATCACAACTTCTCCATTCAGCTAGGCTCGTCATCCATAACTCCATCAAGGTCAGCTAAGAACCTTGGGGTTGTAATTGATGATCAGTTGAAATTCACAGACCACATTGCTAGAACTGCCCGGTCCTGCAGATTTGCCTTGCACAACATTAGGAGGATCTGTGCCCGGTTGCATAAAGCACCTTAAGTTGATTTACCCTTACCTAAGAGAACAACTTAAGGGTGTTGCATACACTCAAAAAAATGATATGTTGGCTTTACTTAACTTTTTTATGTAAACAGGTTCCACCGGTTCCACATAACTATGTTTCGTTAAACAAACATAATATGTTTATGTAACTTCAACATCATGGAATTTGGTCATTTTAAGCGACCCAATTGAACTCTGAGCTAATGAGTTAATTAAGTGAATAACTGAGTGATGATTGAGCATTATTGAAGACACCTGATGTTAACAAGCAGAATCTCTGAAGGAGAAAAAGGGAATGTTTACGTCACCATTATGGAGATAAGTGTGTGTTTTAGTTGGGCTCTTGACCATTAACTTATTAACTTTAGATTTTGTTTGGTTGCTGTACATGAGTTATAACAGCCGGAGGAACAATAAACAAAGGTCATCTGATGGTGTTGGTTGTGTTTTAACATAATCATTATTTCACAATCGTTTGACCTGAGTCACTCAACTTATTTTAAACCGAATTTCTGAGTTAAGTTAACCCTTCGAATAATAGCAGCATTGTCATTGTAGAGCATACTATTTTTAGACTTTTCAATGAAATTCAAATGATCAAATCAATAAATAAAAAAGAAACTTCCTAAAAAATATTTTGAGTAGGCACACACAGACATCAAGAATCAGCCTGTGAATCTCAACAATGGTGACAATTATAAAGCATGTTGCAGTGCATTCTGGGTGCCACCAATCAAAACTCATGTATGGCTCCCATCATGCATTGCTGCATGAATAAATAATGAGCTTATGATCTGTTTGTCAGCATTGCTGAGATTCATATGCTGATTCTTGATGTCTGTGTGTGCCTACTCAACATATTTTTTAAGAAGTTTATTTTTTATTTCTTGATTTGATCATTTGAATTTCATTGAAAAGCCTAAAAATAGTATGGTCTACAATGTCAGTAAGGTAAACTTAACTCAGAAATTGGGTTCAATATAAGTTCAGTGATTGAGGTCAAATGATTGTGAAATAATGATTATGGTAAATCACAACCAACACCATCAGATGACCTTTGTTTATTGATCATCCGGCTGTTATAACTCATGTACAGCAACCAAACAAAATCTAAAGTTAATAAGTTAATGGTCAAGAGCCCAACTAAAACACACACTTATCTCCATAATGGTGACTTAAACATTCCGGTTTTCTCCTTCAGAGATTCTGCTTGTTAACATCAGGTGTCTTCAATAATGCTTAATCATCACTCAATTATTCACTTAATTAACTCATTAGCTCAGAGTTTAATTGGGTCGCTTAAAATGACCAAATTCCATGATGTTGAAGTTACATGAACATATTATGTTTGTTTAACGAAACATAGTTATGTGGAACCGGTGGACCCTGTTTACATAAAAAAGTTAAGTAAAGCCAACATATCATTTTTTTGAGTGTATAATCTCTTAAACGGTTCTCTTAGGTAAGGGAAACATTTAAGTGTTTCACGACAGCGATCCTGGATTCACGTTATAAAAGTCTGTTGTTGCCATAGATACGCAAAACACTAACATGTCGGAATATCACGTGTCAGTCCAGTGACGCTATCACGCAACACCGCGTTAGCTCCGAACGTGGCGGCAGTTTGTGTTGTTCACCGTCTCATGCTTTGGCATTTGTTTAGGTTTTGTGAATGCACTTCTGGCTCTGTGTCTCGAAATACAGCGGAGTATATTTCCATAGCATACCTGTTTTCTTCTGTCATGATTCCTTTTAAAACACAGAATCAGCTCGTTCTCCTGTGAATTTTTTGTCGGCCACACACTCTCCGTGCGCACACTGACTTAACGTTGTGATAGTTTACATGCGAGTCGCGTGTAATGACAGACAGACAGCCGTCTAGTTTGAAAGCGATGTCAAATATTGCGCGTCGATCAAATCGGTATTCTTGCAACAATTTTTCATGGCTAAATTGGTCCAAAGGGTTCTCCCTATTCCCTATGATCTTCAGCTGGTTTCATAAATTCAGCCATGTCGTCTTATTTTTGTCCGCGTTACTCTTAAGGTTACGATTTCCAAACCTTAAGTTATACTTAGGGAAATTACCGTTAAGGGGTTTTATGCAACACTTAACGATTACTTAAGTGAAAAAACAGCATTTAAGGGAAATTCTAAGTGTTTATGACGTTTCACTTAAAAAAAACGTTAAGTAACACTTAAGGGTATTTTTCTGCAACACCCTTAGGTTTAAGGGAAACATAAGGGCGACTTAAAGGGAAAATTACACTTAAGGTGCTTTATGCAACCGGGCACAGGCCCTTCCTTACAGAGCATGCCACACAACTCCTTGTCCAAGCACTTGTTTTATCCAGACTGGACTATTGTAATGCTCTCCTGGCTGGTCTTCCAGCTTGCTCTGTCAAACCTCTACAATTGATCCAGAATGCTGCAGCCAGAGTAGTCTTTAATGAGCCGAAGAGAGCACACGTCACTCCTCTCCTCACACAATTGCACTGGTTGCCAGTTGCCGCTCGCATTAAATTCAAAGCACTGACGTTTGCCTACAGAACAACCACTGGCACTGCTCCCTCTTACCTAAACTCATTACTTCAGACTTATGTGCCATCCAGAAACCTGCGCTCTGCTAGCGAATGTCGTCTTGTGGTACCATCTCAAAGAGGCACAAAATCTCTTTCTCGGACCTTTACCATGGCTGTTCCCTGTTGGTGGAATGATCTGCCTAACTCAACCAGAGCTTCTGAGTCTGTAGCCACTTTCAAGAAACTGCTGAAGACGTATCTTTTTCGGCAGCACTTGATTCAGTAGAATTAACACTTTCTCTTCTCTTCTATACTATTTAAAAAAAAAAAAAAAAAAACTGCACTAAAATTAAACTGAGAGGGGTTATAGCACTTACATATTGTTGTCCTACTGTTAGTTTAACTGCTTCTACTGTTCTCATTTGTAAGTCGCTTTGGATAAAAGCGTCTGCTAAATGAATAAATGTAAATGTAAATGAATTAGTAATTACTTTGTGACCACTAAAAAGTAGCCTACATTCTATATAGTATGAATGTGTGTAGCATGAATGTAATCCGGATTTACAGTACAACATCCCTCATGTTGTCATTGTCATGTGACCAGCGTCAATTGGCTCGCTTAACTGTCATTCACAAATCCTCTCTAAATGGCCTCATGGGATAGTAAAGTGTCCATCGTTTGCACACTTCAGAATCTCGCCAGAAGCTGCAGAAGTCATCAGAGTACTTTTCACCTAATGTTTTATGAATACTGTGAATTCAGACATACTACTCTTTTTCAGCTACTAAATAGTAGGGAAGTATGCAATTCCGGATGCAGCCATGATTTAGATATTTGGGTGAACTGTTTCTTAAAGTGAGAAAAGTCTTTACCTGTGATAGTGGCATGAATGTTTCGCTTTTCAATCAACAGATATCTCGGACTCTCTGGAAACCACGGCAACAACATGAGCTGAATGAATGTAGGCACCACGACTAGGGAGAGAAACAGAGGCCAGTGCTCTTCCTGTGTGGAACAACCAAATGATGATGATAAGAAGAAGACTTCAAGCAATAACAGCTCTGTTTAACATGCGGGTACAACAAAAGTTACAAATATATCAATCAATATATCTGAAATATTCATAACAGAGAAAGAAAATCAAATGTTATAAAATGAAATAGAGAGGAACAACCTTGCCCAAGATCTCATGGAGTCCTAAAATCTGAGCGATAAACACTCCTATACAGATGAAGATGCTGGGCACGAGCCCTAGGAAGCCCCGGAGATTCTTTGGAGCAATTTCTCCCAGATACATTGGCACAACGCTGAGAGATATTCCTACAGCAGCACAGCAGAGGAGCACATATCAGTACAGCAGAAAAATACAAAAGATGAAAATTACTGATGGCACTAGAAATCTAAGGAGAAAATTCAAATCCTAGACAGAGTCAAGTGTAAATTTTTACGAAGGTCAGAGGTTTTCTTTCTAAGAACAGCGACACTGCGTCATGGTGTTGACGCTATGCGAATGTCTTCAGCATGAGCCAGAGTCTGTGTGTAATGACATGTGATGTGTAGTACACGCCAAGCCATTGGCCAAGGACGAAGTCAGGTGACGCAATGCCGTTCGTGATCAAGTCTATAAAAAACACCTGCGCAAAAGTGTCACCAGCCTCTTGTCTTCAGAAGCCGCTTTGTCTGTCACTTTGTATGTGTAACCCCTCCACCCGGGTCCCACTCGACCCGCTCCGAGCGGGGCTCGAACCCGGGTATCCGGGTGGAGGGGTTACATTGGTGCCGTGACCCGGATGGGAGTGAGGTTTAGGGGGGTGAGTGTAACGGAGGCCAGCTAGTAGTTGCTGTGCGAGTAAACCTCACTCCTCTGATCTCAAAAGGCTCTCTAGCGACAGATGCTAGAGGCTGCAGTCTTTAGCCTCCTTGTTAGAGCGCCTGACTCTCATGCCGGAGACCCGGGTTCGAGGCCCGCTTGGAGCGGGTCGAGTGGGACCCGGGTGGAGGGGTTACATAATGCAAAACACTCAGTCACTGTCTGTTCAGAGCAGGAGTTGAAAAAGAAGTTTAGGAGATATATCTCTCTGTCCCCCCCGATCTATTCCTGGGGAAGATGGACGCAAGATTTTCGCATGTGTTCTTTGTTTGGGAGCTGAGCACGCTCGATCAGCTCTCGAGGGGTAAGGTGATATTGCACCCTAGGCCGGATTACGTCCTGAAGAATGTTAACCGTTTTGGTGACCACATTTAGTTAAAAATGAAAAATTCCCACACACAAAAAAAGAAATTCATATAGATTTGGAATTGGCATGAGGGTAAATGATGACAGAATTTTCATGTTTGGCATTAAAGGCCTTAAATGAAATGAATTACCTGAATGTATCCCTGTAATGAAGCGCCCAATGATGATCATCTCTGGAGATCCACATAATCGGCTGAAACCCATCAGCCCTCCAGCGATAAACACCAGAACTGTGCTGTGTACCAGTGTCCCTTTCCTACAAATTAGGAAAATGCGCAAAACATTCAAGCACCTATAAGACTTTAGCCTGTATTTAGTGTAATGTATTAAGTGTCATTTATGTAGTATAAACCGCAGACTCTATACCTCCCAAATCTGGTAACCTGCATTCCCACTGTGAGAGAGCCAACCAGGCCTCCAATGGCAAATATAGACACAGTGACTGAATACATAAGCGTGAGAGTTTCTTCATCCACTCCTGACCCATTCCGCCTGACAATGGTTTGGTTAAAAAAGTCCTTTATATACTATGAAAAGAGCAAATACAAAGAAAATATGACATTGGGTAGCTCTTAATTAATACACATTTCTAATACCTTGTCTGTGCATTACCATTAATGCTTACACTATTATAATATATGATAGGCAGCGATATGAGATTCAGTTACCTAAATGATTTATACTAACTTATATCACACACTTAATAAAAAAAAAATTCTCAGTTGTTTGCAATCAAATTTTAATAAAATGGGCCTCTAGTATTATGTAATTGAATGATAGCGTAAAGAATGATAGCAAATCAAAATAGCAAGTCAAAATTACACAGTGCAGACAGATGTTGGCATAGATGAATATAATCATTGTAGAGAAAAATTCACTCTATTTTTTATATATTTGTCTTTTTTTTCATTTGAATTACCTTTTTTTGTGTACCCTTTTTTGCTATTGTCATATTTATTTAATCTAAATGAGCATGAATTTATGGCATACATTTTTAGCTTCTCCATTACTCTTTCACAAGCTGCAGTTACACAAGCTTTCAGTACGATCACGCTCTCATACTTCTAGTCAGGACTCGTGACTTGTTGGCAAAGGTACAGTAGGTACCATTTCAAGCCTTCACTGTAATGAAGATTTAATTATTTCATATTATTTAGCACTTGTGTAGCGCTTTTGACATCTGTCATAGTTTAAATAGCCTTCATTCCAATTAAATGTTATGTCAGAGGGCACATTTTAAGAGCATAATATTAAAAAGCCCTCAATCAACATCAGAAGAAAAGAAGTGAACAAACTGTGATTCAGTGTTTCATCAAGTAAGTGATTCAATCCAGCTGCATAAAAAAACAGTTAGTGTTACTGTATGTGAGGCTATGTGAAAACTTGTGTTTGTTGGTGTCAGTCACCTGAGCAGGAGAATTAACCACAGCCAGGTTATAACCATAGAGCATGGAGCTCCCAAAGGAAGAGAGGAACGCTACTGCCAACAGGGATGAGGTTAGATGCTGGAGAAACATGTGACAGACAACCATTTTTAATAACATTCCTTCCTGTTTTGAGATTGAAACTTTTCAGATGATGTCTGGCACTTAGATTAAGCACATTATATGTTTCTAACATGAGGTTTTTTCACAAAGGAGGCTGTTTTGGTAAGAATATGAAACTATATGAATATGAACAGACCTTTCTTTAATCACACATTCTCCCTATAAGCAGCTTTTGGAGTTCAATGCTGTTGGCAATGGTATAGGCAGCATGAGTAGATTACAGAAATATTTGCATTTCAATGCACACTGCAACAAACATGGAACAATGAAGTAAGAATTTTCTATCTGGAGTACAAAATCACAGTTTACGCATAAACGTGTTAACTTGTTTAAAAACAGTACACTGAGTCTGAAGTATTGGACTCTGGCGCTGATCCATTTAGCATGTGACTGCGTAAGCGTGAAAGTGGACCATGACTAGATCTGGCATGGGTGTTCACTGCCCAGGCAAACTGAGTTACAATAATTATCCTGCACATGAACTAAATTCTCAACACTATATCACAACCTGCTAAAAGTGTGAAAGCAGTTAAATGGAAGAAATTCTCAGCTGCAGGAGATGGAAGAACTGGAAAACTGAAAGCATGAAGGTTGGCATTCATGAGATGTCACTCGTGAATAAATAGTGTGTAAAAAGTGCAAAAATAGAAATAAACAGAAATTCCTTTGTTAATATTTTACAAACCATCTTTGTTCTGACTTATAGTGGTAGTATATTATAGTAGGAACGACTAATTGCATTATAAAATAAATTAGTAATGTATTGTTGGAAATATTTTTAAAAAGCAACTATGTTTCCAAATTTTCTCATGAGCTGTAATAGAGTAACAACATGTAAGCAGGCCTGGATGAGGTTACATTTAGTCAAAACTGTATGGGTGGGACCTTGACACAGGGCCCAAAAGGAGAACAGGGTTATCAGTAAGAGAGCTTTTTTTGGATCAGGCACAAGATGTTCACAAGATGCAGTAGAGTTCTGGATTTAAAAAAACCCCACAAAAAACAGCAACTTAATTTTCAGTGCATAGAGAAATTGAGCCATAACAGTATAAACCTTTCACATTTTGAGAAGATTTCACAGCAAACAGTGACTATAAGTCAATGGTTTCTTATAGTCATTTATAATGTGTTTACATCATTCATTCCAATAACTCCATTAAAAATTGCCTTGCCTTGCCTTGCCTTATACTTTTGTCGTCGTATTTTTGCTTAAAAAAAAAGGTTGTAATGTTGTGATTAATCTCTGAGTTTGGTTTGGTGTATCTTTTTTGAAGGATTTTGAATCCCTTCACAGAAAATGAATGGGAAATATAGTTCCAGGTCCACATGACAGCTTTCACGCAAACCATGCATGCTCTGTTTTGACTAAACTGCCCATGTGAAAGCCCCTTATAAACAAATCTTTATGATTTAGAGTTACTGTTTGGGTAGGGTTGTGGGTCCTGCTTACAAAAATATACATTTACTACTACAGTGATAAACAGTTTTGTTTTTTTCTGCCTGACAAGATGTGTCACTTACCTTTGCAGCCATTTTGCTCAATTCCTAGAGAGTTTCGCTAAAATACTTGGGAGCATTTACTATGCATTTATAATCTTGACCATGCAGCATGAATATGCATGGTCAAGTTTTCGTTTATTTGATGAGACAAATGCCAAATAAAAGACACTTTGGACCACTGCCTTTAAATTAATTGATAAGAACCATAAATTAATTTATAGAATCTCTAAAGAAACTTTCTAATGTTGGGCTTCCTTCGCAGAAGTGTGAAAGCACAAACCAGGTGCATGAGCCATTCTATGGCTAGTACCAATCTTTAGCAATAAATTGGCCTTTTTTGGGGGGGAAGAGATATTTAACTCTGAGAAAGAGCAGCAGTGTTAGTACAGGTAACTTAGGTAACAGTATAACACATGCCTACGAAATTGGGCATCATTAGCTCTAAGATACAGAAGAATATAAAAAGCGTTTATAAATAACGTTTTCTGAAAAATACATAATCGCCTACATCATTAGAGTCAATGGACGCCTGCATAAATCTAATTTTCTAAAGTTTCTAATTCTAAAGTTAGAATATGTTATCTGTCAAACTAAGACAATAAATATATATTTTTTAATAGGATAAATGCTATAAATAAACAGGCAATGTGCACTTCCCAAGTTGGGTTTAGATTAGTATAGCTAAAGTAAAATAAAGGCTTTACAAACAATCACGCGTAGGTTACAAAATAATATATATATTTCTTTATTGCCAATTTCTCCATGTCAATGCGATGGAATTCCACAGATGTCTCATGGCATGAGAGAGCCTTTTAATTTAGAGAAAACATATCATGTTTGATCGTTTTTAATGTTTCTCTCTCTCTCTCTCTCTCTCTCTCTCTCTCTCTCTCTCTCTCTCTCTCTCTCTCTCTCTCTCTCTCTCTCTCTCTCTCACACACACACATAACTATTGCGTTCTTTCAACGTCGCGTCAGAAATTAAAGACACTATGCTACAGCTTTTGCATGTATTAATACTAATAATAATAATAATGTGCAAAGTAAATTAGGACTACTTACCCCTCTAGATTTCCCATTAGGATCTATCAAAACCTCCTCTGCCATATGAGCACAAAAGAAAGCGACCCTCTGATTAAAACCCGAATGAGAGCGGGTATTGTTTTTCCCTAAAAACTTTATACCACCGGCATCCCAATGCAGGCTATTTCGAGAAAGAAGGCGTGCTGAATAATGATGCTCATTTAAGAGAGAGGAGGAAGAGTATAAGACGTTCAACCAATCACTGCTTGCTGTCAAATGAAGCTCCTCCTGCAAGTATTTCCCACCATTTTAAAAGGTCAAATTGTAAGACTGACATTGTCACATGTTAACAACCCGCGTGATTTAACTCTTTGTTCAAATTAACTGGACCTTCAATGCGTGAGTGGACACTAGGCTATTCAGCTTTTTTTTTGACAACCTGCCCCATAGGAAATAACCGAAGAGTATTAGCCTTCTCAAAGTGAACCATAAATGAAATGCAAGAAATAGTTGGCTATATTTCTGAAAATAATAATAATAATAATAAAAAATAGTTGAGTGAAGTATTTTATATTTCTTCTTTTCATTTCAAAATGCCATATCTACTTTCCCATTGAACGCAATTAACAAAGAACCACGATGGAAAGACACTAAATAGACATTTTTAGCCTATATTATTTATGTAACTTGCATCAAAACCCCAAAGCTTTGCATGAACTTTTTGTGAACCGTTTGTGTATTTAATCAGATTCAATAGGTTAAGTGCAACCACACAGTAGGCGCTCAGATAAAAGAAGACCAATGATTCATTGTTCTACTGTGTTAGATGTTTGAGATGACAGACTGATGGAATTGAAACTCCTGATCCCATGTATCACCACATCTAACTCTGAAATCTGCACATGAACTGTAACTGAATAGCAAAATTTTAAATTTGTAAATGTCTTGCGGTGCGAATTAGCACCGCTGTTTAAGCTCTCACGTGAAACTAGACTGCAAGCCACTATCTTAAAACATTAGTCATGGTTCGGTGACCTTTGCTTCGCATCAGGCCCACAAGGGCTTAAAAAGTTAGTTCACCCAAAAATGAAAATCCTGTCCTCATTTACTGGCCATAAAGTAATTCCAAACCTCCATGCCTTTTTGTGTGTGTGTATGTGTGTGTGTGTGTGTGTGTGTGTGTGTGTGTGTGTGTGTGTGTGTGTGTGTGTGTGTGTGTGTGTGTGTGTGTGTGTGTGTGTGTGTGTGTGTGTGTGTGTGTGTGTGTGTGTGTGTGTGTGTGTGTGTGTGTGTGTGTGTGTGTGTGTGTGTGTGTGTGTGTGTGTGTGTGTGTGTGTGTGTGTGTGTGTGTGTAGAACATAAAATAACATATTTTGAGAAATGTCTGAGCTTTGTTGTTGTTGTTATTCAATGAAAGTCATTGGTAACCAAAACTATAGCCTAACATTCTTAAAAATATATTCTTTTGTGTTTCAGGCTGTATAAATGAAGCCAGTTTCCTTTTGGAGGTGAATTATCCCTTCACAAATACTAAATTAACACAATTTAATGTGTATCACATGAACTCAATTCAAAAGAAGAATTAATAGCAATATTAGGGTACTACACAATAATATGCATGCCTATATAGGTAGATATTTATAAGTTTCAAATATTAGTTGCTCAGCCTTGTGACTAACCTTTAAGAAATTTTGAAATAATAGTTCTGTGTTTGGATTTATTTTGGGTCTGTAATAGCTCCCTCTGGCTTCTTTTCTTGGACCTCTCTCCTCACATGAGTATGTGTTGATGCTCAAAATTTACACGAAAATGATCAGATGATAACTGAATCTTATGATACAAAAAAATAAAAAATAATATGTTTGGATTGTTTAACTTCATATATATATATATATATATATATTCTGCTGACGGACCTGGCAGGCGTCTTGTGCTTTTCTGAGTAATATGTTCTCATGTCAAATGGTTTGGGTCATATGACTCTCAGCGTGGAGTGATGTCCGTAGCCTTAGACAAATTTTTGTGAAGAATCAATTATTATCTCACACAGGAGGTTATTCACTCTCTTACTATATACTCTCGTCACTCATTCATCCAAATATCTGTAAATCTAAACGGTAATGAGAAATGTTACACTGCATCGGGCAGGAACACGTGGAGGAATTTACTATGAGAGAGTCACTTGGCTCCTATGGGAATAATCATGTGCTTTTGTTTCACCACACTATTTCAATAACCTGCACAGCATGAAAATATATATTTCTCTGAGAAATCTAAGAGAAATATATATAAATATTTGTGGCAGTTCAAGTGTTTGGAATCATGTACAGGGTGTTCTCGAACGCACACAGGTATCCAGTTATTTCCTGGGTGTACCCTTACCCACTGATTACTTACTTACTTACTTACTTACTTACTTACATTATTTTTGGAGGGCTCTTAAAAAATGTACATACATATATTTTACTTTGTCTTCGGCCTTTGATGAGTGATCAGTCACATGACAGATGTTCCTAGAAATGAGTGGCCACTTGCAGAGATGACAGCAGCCAGGCTGAGTACTTCCAGGGGATCAAGCTGAGAAACAGCCACTGAGATGAAGATTAATAGGTTTCTTCAGGTATTATAGGCCTCCTTGGTAAACAGCTCTTATCTTAAAGTTGCCATGAAATGAAAATTCACCTCAATGCATTTCATTAAATGCATGTTATAGATCTTAATGTGAACAATCCAACCACGTGTAACCGAATGAATGAGATGAGTGGTGTTGATTGACGGTTGTGAGCACCAATCAGCAGGGAGTATCCACTATTTAAGAGCTGGCTGGTTATGGCCTGGGATGCGTCACGTCCGGCTCCTCCCCGTTCTCTGTTGTTGACAGTGGACACAGGTATGTTTCATTAGCATGTAGCAAGTTCTGTTGTTTGCTGTGTGCATGGCAGTAATGATTCATGGTGTATCCTAGCCTGTCTTTTCTCCTCCCTGGTTCCCTCGGCTTGTTTTAAGTGGATGTTAAGACCGCTAACCTCTCAGTATTTCCTGTGTCTCCGCTGAACGGCAGTCATATGAATTCCATATACCCGTGCCTGTAAAGGGATAATAGAGCTTATCTCCATTTTTCGGTAAGTGTTGTCATGCACGTAGTTATATGCTGAGAATTTTAGCAGCTGATGTATGCATTTGAGTAATTGTTTCCTGTGTATTTGTCTCAGGATTCTCTCTCTCGCTCGTGGGCAATTTGTTTCTGCCATAGTTGAAGTCCCGTTCGCTTCTCTGCTGTCATACTGCGAGAACGCCGTATCGTCCAGCTGTTCAGGGGGATTGTCGCTGTTTGGTTTCGTTATATTACAGTTTAGTGTATTTTGGGGTTGACGTGCACTATTTGTGAAATACGGAAGGAATCACCCCGCGGTTGATTCCTTCCAGCCTGTCTACCCTATTATTTGAATTGAGTTAATTTGTTTCTTTTCTTTTTCTATTGTACTAAAAATTGTATATTATTTGTGATTTGATATGACTTTATCACTGCCTGTTCTTTTGATCATACAGTGATGTAATCAAATTGTGATTTATTGTAACTGTTTTGAAGTTTATTCTAAGTTTGTTTTCTTTCAGTCGCCGGGGTCCCACGGGTGAAGCGTCTCTTGTGGTGGTGGTGCTCCTCCTACGGTTGCCGTGCAACACTTTTGAAGTGTTTTGGTTGCGTGATCTGAGTGCACGGTGGTGTGTGTGTGCAAGTGTGCTTTTGACTAACTAGCTTTGTGATCACTTCTCCGTGGTGAACCTCGGACCTGTAAGGTTGTATTTCTTTTTTTTTGTGCAATTATTAGTTATGTAAATTGTTGTACGTCATTTGTTGTTTTTGTTTGTTTTTGAAGCCGATGTCAGCCATGCACTAACGAGTCACTAGACCCATTCGGGTGCAACAGAGTTTATTTTAATGTGAATCCCATTCTCTTTTTTAAATATGACTTTGTATTAATAAAACTTTGTATTTTTTCATGGTACCCACGTTTCTGCCTACCTTCTTAAGAGAGTCGAACCTGTGTGACCTAAATTCTTAGGTTTCATTCATATTTCCCGGGGTGAAATTCCCATGGGTGGCGTAGTCGAAATTCTTGTTGTCTGAAATCTGCACTACTACGTCACAAACTGGCGCAGTCGGCAGGGTCTCTTGTGTAGTGCAAAGACGTGGGTATTGTTTTTGTTGGTATTAGTGTTTTTGGATATTTGGTTTTTCTTTTTTTTTTCTTTTTGCAGAAACCAGACAGCGGCAGTTTCTTTCGGGGGTCTGTAAAACGGACCGGTGAGTTTCGTATCTCTATTGGTAAGTGCTGTGCGTGATTTATAGTTATGGACGATGAACTACGTGAGTTAAAGGAATTAGTACTCCAATTAAAGGCAGACAATGAAAGATTGCGACAGGAGCAGATGCCAGCTGCGCAGCCTGGTTCATCTAGTGCTCCTTTATCTGCCGCTGTGGACCCTCCTCCGCCCACTGGTTCTAGTGCAACAGAGCGATTTGTTTTTGTCCCTCGTGACAGAAAGTATCCAAAATTTAATGGTAGGTCTGGCATTTTTATCGATGGGTGGGTGGAGGAGGCCCAGGCTTGCATGCGGCTTCGCCACCTTTCTAATACTGATAGGGTATATTTTTTTGGTTGGTCATTTGGAGGGAGAAACCAGGGAGGAGATTCGTTATTGGTCGAGGGACGAGAGGGAGGATCCGGAGAAAATTATTCAGGCTCGGGTGTTCTGATGGGTTAAGATTTATGTCCCTATCTTGTCATATGGATAGGTGGATTTTAAGTACCATGCGTGGGCGACATTAGCTTTACGGTATCTACTGTTACGGAGAGCTGTATTCGTAAACTTTTGAACTATGAGGGTTGGAAAGACTGCAGTCGTGTCAGTGGTTGTAGCTGCTGGCTGTTTATGGGCCTGTAATTCCTTATGATTATTCGGGATTAGACAATATGGCTCTGTTCTTTTCGGTTTGTCATTTAACCCTTGAGGCTCCTGGTTTTGTTGTATGGGCATGAGGTTCTGCTTGTATAATGGCATCGGTAGATTTGAGTACGATGATGTCTATCCATTGTTCTCTGTAGATTTTAGTATGGTGATGCCCATCCACTGTTCTCTGTAAGTGAGTTGAGACGATGATGCCTATCCATTGTTCTCTGAGATTTTAGTACGGTGATGCCCATCCACTGTTCTCTGTAAGTGAGTTGAGACGATGATGCCTATCCATTGTTCTC